CCCCAAAACCCCAAAACCCCAAAACCCCTGAATCCTAATTCACTTATATAAACGGTGGATTTAAAAACAAATACATATTTAAACAAAACTATATAATGATGATATTTCATAATAGGGTAATAGATCTAATCTTTTCCAAATATTTTTCTTTTCTCTTCTATTTTCCCTTTAGCTTAATATCTCTTTTCTTATTGGTTACAGCTTGATTTTGTTCATTTGTATAAATATTCTCAATAATCAAGTCATTTCTAATATTTTTAGATTTCTCAAGCAAATCATAGTTCAACTATTTATAATGCTTCAAATATTCTTCTTTAGTTTCTTTGACTGTGATAAAGGATACATCTTTTAAGCTTAAAGTCTTATTCTATTTTATGAAAGTACCCCAAATACTGTAATTATTTTTTTAAGATAAAAATTTCACTGCCTCAACTGGTAAGTCCTTATGAAATCTCTATGCTAATGGCATAACTTCTTTTAAAAGGACCTTATACCTTGGAGATTCAAGTAATGTCAAAATATTAATTTTCAAATCTAGGATCACCTTAGTCAGAAGCATGTCTTTCATAATAACCTAATCTTTACTCTGATACATTTTATCATCGTTTTAATGAGTTTCATAAAACTACTACAGTCTATCAAGCAGTCTTTAAATTTAGATATTGGACGGTACAAGCTTAAGTAGCTTATGGACTATCTATATTTTTTATTCTGCTTCTAAGCTTACAATTTACTATCTACTTTGCTATTTGCCTGATGTATCTTAATTGGTCCTTTCGGATAAGTTTTAAGCAGTTTGAATAAGATACTTGACTAAGAATAATATAATATTGGTCATTTGTTTTATCTTCGGTACATCATGTCTCATTTAGAGATTTTGTCTTATTACTTAATTGAGTGGCTAAGTTTCTAAGATTTGTTATTCTTAAACTCTTTTGTAAACAACTAGACCAATGTTGCCGAACTTATTGAATAACTTTAAAATTGCAAGAGGATCCTCTTCAGATTTATCTTCATCATTCTCTAAGTCAACAAACAATTGACCTATTTCACTCCACTCAGAATCGTAGTTTGGGACTTCATCATCTTCATTTTCGTCATCTTTATTATCAGTTAAATCTTCATTTTCCTCAATTATATCCTCTAATAACTGATTCCTGAATACTCTTACTCTCTATACCTAGTTGCTATTATCACTTTCACTGGAGATATCTTCATTAATTTAGAATGGGTCAATTAATTCATCCTCTACCTCAATACTTTCTTCGCCATCACCTCTTAATAATAAGTCTTATTCTCTTAGAGCTGAATTCAACCAGAAATCATTGAAATTCCTATATCTAACAGCTCTTCTTCTTCTTAATCTGTCAATGCCTAAAGCGATGTTTGAATGCAGATTTGCTCTAGAGGCTGTACGTCTTAAACCTCGTGAGAGTAATGTCTACGGTCTTTGGGGGATTTATCTGAGAAGCTAAGCTCTGGCGCTAGGTAAATTATGGATATTTGAAATTGCATGCTGTCTTCTTAAATTTGATAGCGATCTTGGTGATCTTATTCTACTGCTTCCGCTATTGTGACTTTAAGAAACATCTCTTCTCCTTCTTAACTATAGTCTTGAAATTGGTCTACTAATCAGAGGTTCTTCATCAGAATCGCTACTTAAGATTCGGTTACTCTAGTTATTCTAATTGTTATTGCTTCTTTAACTCTGAGAACCTCTATCTTACAACATACTATCTTCATATTGATCTCTAGGAAAATTAGGATTGTTTCTTATCACTGTTTGTTCTGAAGACTCAGAGCTAATATCGTCACTATCACTTTCACTGAACTAATTCAAGTCTAGAAATCTTTATGGCTGAAGCTGAAATTAAGGAGCAGGGACAACGCTATTAACTGGAGGATCAATGTTTAGAAACTCTTCAGCTCGTATTCTCAAAGGTGGTCTACTCTATTAATCACTATCAGAGACACCAGATATTGCATTTTAACTTCTCGCTCTTGAGGAGAGACTAAAAATTGGTTATTAATCAATAAATTTAGGATTACAATTGATTTTATAGATTTTGCTAGAAAATATTAAACTGACTTCTAAACATATTTTAGTGATTTTCAGCAACTAAGTTAGCTATTTATTAATCAAATGGCTCCAATAGTTGAGATCTATATAATTGAGAATCTGAGGGTATTGAATCCGTTGTTATTATTTAATCAGAAGTTCTTTGGAGATTTCTTTCATGATGACTGAAAATAGCATCATAGCTTGAAAACTCAAATCTCCGAGGAATCCTGAGAGGAGGTGTATTTGGTGAGCCGTCAATTCTTTATAGATTCTAGAAACTAGTTAAGTTAGGCGAAGATTGGTCAACATTTTGGCTATTGCCTGGAATTTAACTTCTTAGTTGGCTTTGTCTAATTGACAGGGGTTCGCTATTGCTCAATTGATTCCTCTCAGGATTCAAGTTGATATTTTAACTTAATTCAGATTACAATCTAGCCTAACTCCCTAGAACTGGAATAGAGATACCCCTTAATTGATCTATCATTGTTCTTATTTCAGAGATTCGTCTAGGCTACGAGACACCATCCCTCTCCTACAACTAATTAGAATTAGAATTGTTGGAATTCTGATTAGGTCTCGAAATGTAGTCAAACAGCAAATTAGGTCTGGATATTAATCGGGTGCCACTACTTTAATCGATCTAATCAAGAAGCTATTGTGAATTGAGAGGTTCAGGCTGGGATTCTTCTCTGCCAGAATTTTCGTATCCCGATGGGTTGTCTTGACTTAATTATGATCTCCGCATTTATTTATTATAATTATTTAAGTTTATCTGATATTAATTACTTACTCATTACCATGTTTAGAATCGCATTTTCGGGGTTTTGGGGTTTTGGGGTTTTGGGG